TTCTAGATGGCCAAAGTTCAATCTATAAAGCTTAATATATACACAGATTTTTGTTATCCCTCTTCCCCTCAACTTTCCTCTCTACATCACCTAAATTCATTCAGGGGCATCATTCCCTATGGACTCTCACTTAATATCTCTAATGGCATCTCTGTCCCTAGAACATAACACGCAGCTTTGAAGGTACTTTTATGTTGTTAGGCATAGTAGATACTTCATAAATGATTGTGAACTTGATAAACTGAACTAAGAAATTCCTATAGCTCAAGGAATTTGAACTGAAAAGTACTATTGCAATGAAAAAAGGTGATTTTATTGGTAGGAACTACAACTTATAAGTGGCATACACTTGTTTAATTCTAACACTCATTATGACACAACAGAAACCTATTAATTACTTCTTTATGAAAAGTAGGAATATCTATTGTCAGACATACCTTGGTGGGCTCAGTGGTTTCATTAACAATTTTGAACTGACCAGTCAATTCAGCTTTATAATTAGTCAATCCTGTCCAACAATCGGTCATTTTAAGGTGTCTCTAAATAAATCAATTCAAACAACTAGATTGACTTTTTTTTTTCGGTGATTGAGTTGACTGGTTATTTGAATTAAGTAATTGTTGTAGCACCACTTAGACACTATCTTAAACTATACCTGGGAGCTAAGAGCTGTAATTCAGTTCAGTTGGAAGTTGATTAGCTTTTCAGTATCTCATCTGAAAGAAATGGCTAGTGACAATATATTTTCCTTCATCTGGATTTTTGAGTTAACAGAGCTATTTATTCTTTTAGGGACTATATACACATATGTATGTCTTTGTATACACACATATATACATATATGCACACATATATACAAAAGGACTTGTATATATGTATGCATATATACAAATAGCTATACATAAACATATGTACAATATGTACCTATGTATGATATATGGATATGTTATGTTATATTATATGTATATACCATATATTTACATAGATATATATTTAGAGATTTTCCTTTCTCATCTAGGAAAGGCGTATTTATTGTCTCATTGCTTTTATCAGTCACAATTCTATTACATGAGAGACAATGTGGTGTAATGCATGGAGGACCTGTCATCAGGAAGACCTCTTTGTCTCTGATACGTATTAGTTTTGTGACCTTGGGCCAGTTACTTCTCCTTGCCCCAGACAACTCTCTTAAAATATAAGTCACAAAGGAGTTGCCTATCTATATCAGTAAAAGGAACTTACCACAATTCAAATTTCCTACACCCATGAAATAATGGTTAGGACAAAAAAAAATAGCTCCTATTCTATAATAATGCTCATCTAAATTTCATCTTGCAAACTAAAGGAAGCTCTGTTTATAGACTTTGTCACAAGTTTACTCAAGAAACTGGTTTCTAAAATACACACACACACACACACACACACTCCATATATATTCTTTTTTATATATTTATATGCATGTGCACCCATATATTAATATATGCATTCATTAATTCATCTATATGCATGTATACACATGCATTTAGCCACATATATGTATGTATAAGAATTCAGATCATGTTTATGGTCATTATACCTTTGCAGGTTGGAAGAAACTTACTGTGCAAAGGTCAGTTTTACAGTGTTTCCTCAGCTCCATTTCCACCTGTCCTTCAGTCCTGTATCCTTCAGTGAAAATTGCATTATTTTTAAGTTGAAGGTTGCTCTCAGGCAGGCAGGCAGGCTCTTCACCCACCCCTATTTGAAACAGATAATGGATTCCGCACAGGTTTCAGACTGGCCAAGGTCATTGTACATATAAGCTTCAAGGAATGAGTCAGTGTAAATATCCAAATTGCAGTTGTGGCCAAACTCAGGTGACGACAAGCATTTTTGATGAGTGCCCTCTTGTCTAGTCTTGACAGTGGCCTGATGACACCAAACAAATCAAATGAAGAGAAGTCACTGTCTGACTGGGAAGGTTATATCTTCACTAGAAGTAGAACAGTGAAAGAGGCTTGCATCCAGACACGTCAAGCCCTGGACCCCTGTGTTAATCCGCACAGCAAGATATTAGCCTGATTTTGCTTGCCAAGTACAGGTTGTATTTATTTGCTCAGGAAAAAAATGAAAAATTAAAACCAGAGACATTTTCTCTAAGGAAGGAAGAATAACCAGATGTAATGTTTTGGCCTTTTTCCCAGCTGAAGAGTGGCTCTTTACATTGACTAAGAGAATCTTGATAGGAAGAGTTAGTAACAAGATGGGATAGCTTGTCCTCTTTTGAAGGACAAATAGAGTATATTTCATTAAAAATAGTCACATTGAAGGAGCAAGTGAAAGTCCTTCAGAGTTGCCAGCAGAGGAAGGCAATTTCAAGAAAAATAAAGTAGCTAAAATATTAGTTAAAAGAATCTGCCCCTTATAATAAATAGAATGTTTGGCCAAAATGTTACAAGTATAGGGTTCTTGGCATTGGACTAGAGTTTAAATCAAAGCAATAAAGCATGTAAGGAAAGGTCAGTGTCATAAGTAATTGGGGGAGGTGGCATGTAAAAGACTTTGTATTGCCATATTTGTTTTCATTTTCAATACAGATTATAAGGAAGAACTGGGTCCTGAGGAATTTGTTATCGAGGTGATGCTCCAATAGTAGTCAAATGTTGGGAGTAACATAATGGTGAGGTGGGGGGAGGAAATTATCAATAAAATGAGAATTGCAGTATATTTAGAGATTAAAGAGGGGAAAAATCGTCCTCCAACAGGAGTGATACTCTGTTGTTGAAAGTTGTTCATCACATGATCTGAAGTGGGAGAAATCCATCCAATTAAGCTGTTTCTCCAAACAGAGTAAAACGAGATGAGATGACCATAAGGATGCATGACTAAGTCAGTTTATGCAAAGTCAAGCTGCCCATAGAAGCCACTAGCAAACCTACTGGGGCCAAGCTGTTTTTGTTTTGTTTTAATAACAAAAAGTAAAAGAGAGAAATGGATTGTGAAAATCACTGCCACATTTGGGAACATTCAGGAAAGACCTTCTACCTGGATAGCCCAGTGTAATAGAGCACTGGATTTGGAAACCCTGGCTGGACTATTTGCTATTTGTGTTATCTTGGGCAACCAATGTAACTTTCTGAATCTCAATTTTTTTTTCACCTGTAAACTAAGGGGATTGAACAAGAAGATCTCCATTAGGAACACCTAATCCTATAAGTTTGTCTATTCTGATGCAATGTCTGGTGAATTGTGGTATAGTCCTTATCTTTCAGCAATGCGCACCTTACTCCAGGATGCATTTATTACTTCAAGTACATATTTTAAATATTTAAAACAACGTAATTGTGTGATTTGAGAGGACAGAAAGGCAGGAGATTCGGCAAGTTAACATGAAAACCAGGTTCAAGAAATAAATCTATATTAATCTATTTAGTGAATAAAATATAGAAGACACCGTGTAGGGCCATGTATACTATCTTGCCACAGTATCAGTAAAAGCCACACTAATTTTTCCTAGAGATTTTTTCTCTGTGTTGAGTTCGCTTGTTATATCAGGGTGAACTTTTTTATAGCGCAAAGTCGAATAGATGGCTACACTAAGGAAAGGCTATAATAATATTTTGAAACAATGGCTTAAATATATTGATATGGCAAACAAAAGGCAATATAAGTTGACATTAACAACATATATAAATATTTACATCTAGCTACAGTGATTCACTGCTTACAGCCCAGAATGAGAAATTAGCATTCATGAGCAGAAGGACAAAGGCTCTCCCGGTATGCAATTTGGGGGTGGGTTGGGAGAGAGGATGAAGTTGTCACCACTTTACAACTAAGAAGTCATTGTAATTGTCCTATTCTCCAGTAATGGCCATCATACTTCTAGCCTGAAAGTGTCATAAAACTATTAAAGTTTGTTGTAACAGAAAAACCCCCCCAAAACAACAACAACAATAACAACAACAAACCCACCTGTGTTTGGGCTACTCTCGTTGGACTCAGGTTAACTTTATGTTACTCCTCTCTCGAGGCTTCTGCACCTTCCCCCTAACCGCCTCTCTGCCATTCAGCCACTCCTGCTCTGTTTCTGACTCTACTTCTCTCCTAACTGTCCCGTGCAATAGGCCACTAAGAAAAGGAAAACAACTATCCTTAAGCTATATTTATGAATGTCTGTCTTTCTTTACTTAGTGATGAGAACCCATGGCTCTGTAGGTCTGGGGTCTAAGCCCAAGAGGATGTGGTAGAACTGGTAGGATTGGGCAAGGCTTGCCTGGGTGCAGGTGACCCTGCCCTCACAGACTCCCTACCAGGACAACCAAAAAATGTAGCTGAAATAGATGAAAGTTTGGACCACAGGAGGCAGTTACTGGAGGTGGGGTCGGTTTTCTGGTGGGACTCTTAATGTTTGTTCTGGGGCTTTTTTTTTTTTTGTAATCTTAATTATATTTTTCACGGGTCTTATTTCCAACTGTGCCAGCAAATTGGCTGAAGGTCATAAAATCAGCCATTGAGACTTGCTTCCTTACCCAGGAATTCAACTGATCAGATAAGATAATTCTAAAAGTAGGGAGGAAGGAGAGAAAAATCCTGGGGTGGGGGAGAAGGGTAGTCTTAATATTTATGTTACGGGCCGTGATTACTGATAATCACCCGAAAAAAAAGATTTAAGGAAAATTGTTTATCTTCTTTTACAGCAGTAGCAACCACCTCTTCTCTTCCCTTTCTTCCCCTCCTGCCCCCCAACCTCTGAGAGGGTCAAACTCAATGCCAGGGCGGAAAGCCAGGCTTGCAACAGTTTGCAAGCTCTCTCTAGCTTCCGTCGTCCCTCTCCCTCTGGTTGTAGCGAAGTGCGGGGGAAGAAAGAGAGAAAGAGAAGTGGTGTGTGTGTGTGTGTGTGTGTGTGTGTGTGTGTGTGTGTGTGTGTGTGTGATGTGGGATGTGTGTGTGCGTGTGCGTGTGTGTGTGTGTGTGTGTGTGTACGCGCGCCCAGGCTTCTGTTTCCCTCCATTTTTCTGCCAGTGAAGAGCTTCTGCCCCGCTTTGAACTGCCAGGGGCCGCTTGGATCCAAGCTCCGGACTAAGCTGGCAGCTCTCCCCCTCCCCGCCTCCCCGTTTCCCGCCCGCCTCCTTTTCCAAATACACACCAGCGCCTGCGTGCACTCGCCCTATAAATAAGAAAAGGCAAGGGCAACGGGCGAGCAGTGTGATTGCTGTCGGGCTGGGCAGGCAGAGTTGGGCAGGCAGAAGAGCCGCGCGCGCGCTGCCCAGCTATCCTCCCAACCACAGCATGGCTTGCTTGGACCGATGCCGTTGCTGCGCGGACAACAGGCGTCAGAGCAGCATCCTTTATAGCATCTTAAAGAGCGAGGAGCAGAAGAGCGAGACCCAGGAGCAGGAGCAGGAACAGCAGCAACATCAACATCAACATCAACAGCAGCAGCCTCTGGAGCGGGCGCAGAGGCAGGGGCAGGGGCAGGGCTGCTCCTGCGGCTCCCAGCGCAGGGTGGCCCTGAAAAGCCCGCAGGTGGCCTGCAAGGCGGCCTCTGCCGTGCTGGTGAAGACGCTGCGCTTTGTGAAGAATGTGCCCTGCTTCCAGGAGCTGCCCCTGGACGAACAGCTGGTGCTAGTCCGAAGCTGCTGGGCGCCGCTGCTAGTGCTTGGGCTGGCCCAGGACCGAGTGCACTTCGAGACCGTGGAGACCTCGGAGCCCAGCATGCTTCAAAGAATACTGACCACCAGGCGGCGGGACCCCGACGACCTGGAGCTGTCTTCGTCGCCTCCCGCCCTTCCCGAGCCTTTGGCCCTGACCGACCCCTTGCAGCCACCCTCTGCCGCCCAAGTCCAGGCTATCAAAGGTTTTCTGACCAAATGCTGGAGCCTGGACATCAGCACCAAGGAGTACGCCTATCTCAAGGGGACTGTGCTCTTCAACCCAGGTAAGGGAGTCGGACCTTTGTCGAGAAGAGGGCACTGACTCTCTTCCCACTACCCTCTGCCCAGAAAAGTATCCTGGCTCCCTGGCATAGGTTAATGGGAGAGTTGGGGAAGACGAGTTGGGTGGCTAAAAGCTTTGACTTTGGGAAAGTTAGGTAGCCTTACAGAATTTTGCACCCGGGCTAAGTTGCAGCCAAGTAGCACGCGGAGAGGTTTTGTTTAGTTTTGTACTTGCTTTTTACTTTGTTCTATATTTTTTAAAGCTAATTTTTTTTTCAGGGGGTGGGGGCGTGAAGGATGAAGGGAGAGTGAGCTTTGATTTCCTCCTGTTTCTCCTCTGCTCATTCACTTTGAAACGAAGCAACGAATTTCAGTTTTTTCCTTTACAGGCAAATTCTCAGAACTCCCTCACCCCAGGTGAGGCATTATTTTTTGTGTCTCCTTGCCCTTAACAGTCGCCTGAATTTTTGCTTTTTAAGTTTCAGAGAACAGTAGTAGCCATTCCAAATTGCCTCTTAGTGCCACTGTCAAAAATGGAGTGTTTTAATAACAAAGAACAGAATCGGGTAGTTATTATGATGTTTTGTATCCAGGCTGCCCATGACCCATTTTGACTTTCCTAGGGAGTTCTTGGGGAAGAGAAGTTCTTAGGCTGCCAACTTGGTTTTCTTCTAACCTTCTTTCAGAAGTTGGCTGGCAACAGCTGGAGGAGATTTGGAACAAACAGTCCCTGCTTACTGGGGGAGAGTGTCTGCACAGTCCAGGCACCTCCTCTTTTTGAACTCCAAGTCCACGCTTTCTGAAAGGGGGTCAGGGAGGGAAAGGGGAAGTTTCAGCTGTTCTTTAATGCTCCTCCACACTGATTCTTTTTGACATGTGTCGTCTTTTTTGTCCTTGACTTGCTTGAGTTTTACCTCTTTCTGACCTGGTCCTGTGGTCCTAAACAAATCACTCAATTTCTCTGGTCCTCACTTTTCTCACCTGTAAAATGTGTGAGCCTGGACTAAAGGTCGGTCTAAACTTTTAACTATAAGCTATTAATTTGAAAAAGAAAAAAAAATACTTTTTTTTTAAAGAAAATTCTTTTGAAATGTTTTGGTATTTTTCAATTTAGAAATCATTAGGTAATAAGATATTGGAAAAGTAATGCTATATTTTAGATTAGCATGGGTCTTTAGATTTAAAGAAGTTGGGCTGTTGACAAAGAATAGAAAATGTCTCCTATTATTGTGATACTGTCATCAGAATACATTATTTTTAAAAAAATGGTACATATGGGAAAGACTAGTAAATTTTCATGGCCTCCTAAAACTCTTTAAAGGTATATAGATTTTTTAAAAAACTTGAATTGTTCTCAGAAGCCTAATTAAAACAGCCCATAGAATATAAAATGTTCTTCTAGTGGAGTAACATTCTTTACAGATAAATTGAGAGAGACCGTGGTACGTGGAGTAGGACTTAGAAAACCTGGAGCCATTTTCTGACATGAAGGAGCCAATGTGATCCTGGGCAAAATCTCTTCTTAATCCCTACTCTGAACTTTACTTTCCTTGACTATAAGTGGAGAATGATCATACTTATGGCACCTGTCTTACAAGTTTATATTAAAGAAATCATTTTGTGATGTGAGCTATAGTTATTAGGAGGCTTATTGAACTGGAACAGTAACTCACTAAAACAATCTATTTGAATATGAATAAGTGGACGCGCAGAAAAATGTGCCTCCTATTCATCAGTTAAATTAGGCATTTTATGGCTTTAATGTGACTATACAAGATTAGTGAATATTATCTAAGAAACTTTTTACAATGCGCTTCATTGCCATTGCAACTGTTCCTCCTTAAAGCTGAGTGGGTATGTGCACATATATATGTATGTATGTGTATGTACACATATACATACACATTAAGAAAACCAGTGCAAATAGAATGCTTAGGCTGCTAATTAATTGGAGTTACAGGGCTAGGAGGATGCATTCTGATATGCTTAGCAAAGACTACTTGGTTAGTTTATGAACAAAGAGGTTTCATTCCTTTTCTCTTTCAGACCTCCCAGGACTGCACTGTGTTCAGTACATCCAGGGACTTCAGAGAGAAGCCCAGCAAGCTTTAAACGAACACATCAGGATGCTTCACAGAGGGCACCAGGCCAGATTTGCCAAGCTCAATGTTGCTCTTTCCCTGCTGAGATCCATTAATGCTAATGTCATTGCTGAACTCTTCTTTAGACCCATCATTGGTACAGTAAATATGGATGATATGCTATTGGAGATGCTCTGTGCAAAGTTATAAAAGCATGCAGAATATAAAAATAAGTTTCAATCTAAAGGAAATGATGGAACAGAATTAGTGTAAAATATTGTAAAATAAACTAACTTATTATTTTTAAATGCATAGTATTTTTGTATTCAATAATAAACTATTCTTCCAGTTCTATTTTTTTTTAAATCCTTCTTTGCAGAATATTTTAATTGTGGAAGAAGGCTAACTGCTAAACCAAATATTTAGACCTTTTGTGATAAGGCTTTTATATTAATAAGGTATTTTCCCAAAACAAAGATTTGCAATCCTTTGACTTAGCTGAAATTAAATTTATAATGCTAAATTATGATTTTTTAAAGTGTTAAAACACTACATTGATTTTAAAAATTCTTTGGGGTTTGGCAAAATTGGGAAATATTATGAAAAAATTAGCTACCTGAAAAGATCTAAGAAATATAATTATTACCAATATCTAAATCTTTGTGGTAGAGGGTTCCTATCTCTGCCTTGGGTTGGAGTTGGAAGGGAATGGCTATGACGCTGGGTAATTATTTGGTTAGAGTCAAGTGTTTTTTTGGCACTGTAATGGTACCACAGAGTGATGATCAGGCCTTTGGATACGACACTTGAGATAGATGGTTAGTAGTAGATGGAAGAAAGAAAGAAAGAAAATGGAAAATATAGCCTCTAAGAGAGAGAGAGATAGAATCTGGGAGAAGTCTAGGAGAGAGGTCCTGGGGAGAGGGAAGGGAGACAATGTTAGGAAATACTGAAATGGAAATATCTATTGTCTTTACCATTTGTTCTGTAACCTGAATTTTGAAGTAGAGGAAAACCTTTCCCCAAGGCACTGTAACTTTAATAGTAGTGTCAGCGCTACATAACAGGAGTTTGTAGCGAAGTCATACTTTGAGTCTTTATCCTGGTGTGGAGGTGACCAGTTTAGGGGATGCTATGCCATTATAGTAAAAAATCTAGCAGGTTCTAGTGAGCTGCATTTCTAGAAGGTCTAGAGCATGGGTTGGTGTTGTACTATCTGAGGACCAACCTTAGTAAATATTGAGAATTGTCACCCAACATTTGTCTACTGGTGATGAAATTTGTACTAAGGCAACCAACGATACCATAGAAACATAAAATGGTCCTTGATCCTCTGTGACCCCTTGTGTTCTATAAGGATGCTTTTGGAAAATAGGGCAAGCGGTATTAAGAATTACATGGTTTTTAGTACATCTACAAACATTAAATAGTGTCTCTTAATTTGAAATCTTTGCCCAGCTGTAGTTGACATACTATTAGACAACATGAACCCATATCTTTCTTTACCTTTTTTTGCTAAAATGAAAGTAAGAGGTGTAAAGAGGTCTCAGTTAAGTGGAAAAATAACTTTTAGATTCATTGGTGGAATTTATTTCTTTTTGAGCCCAAGGGCAATATGAAATATAATTTCATGGAAAAAAAATATGTGTTCTGGCCTTGCAATATTTACAATTAGTATAAGCAAATAGATCAATATGAAAATGATTGGTACACCTAAATCTCTTACAAAAAAGGAGAGAAATTCTGTGAAGAATTTGACAAGATCTGTCAAACTTTATCAAGAGACCATGGTATTCACTATTTTAATTATGGAAATGGACATGGAGGAGAAAAACAATGTTGGAAAAGCTATTCACAATTAAGAAATGAAAGAAATAAATGTCTGAAAACTATATAGAGGCCTGACATAGATGTGCTGAACTGGACAGACACTGACTGCCATCATAAAAATGAGACTATCTTAACAGATAGGAAATGATTAGTTGTAGCTGTAGTAGGCATTGCAGAATGGGTTGTCTCTGTGCAATCAAAGCATAGAACAGTGAAAGCAAAGATCAAAGTTAATGTTAAATCAGAAGAAAGCATAAAGACACTGAGCAATTACCACAGGTTCAACATAATGAATCGTCTATCTTAAACCCTTCAGTTTATAGTGGAAACCAAGGCTCAGAAAGGCTAGATGATTTCACAAGATCAGAAAACTAGCAATTCAACTTAAATTTATAAAGACTTTAATCTTAAGGAGCCAGTCTAATTTGGTTATTATTTAAAGCAGAGTCAGCAGTATTTTTAAAGTGAAGGGTCAACTTTGCTTGGTCCCATTCTTTTAGTATTGGAAAACCGAGCTGGCAGCAGATGACGTGGTCAAGGGGTACCATTATCCACATGTGTAAATAAAGACTTGAGCCAAGGAGAAGCATGTTGGCATATAAAGGAAAGGTAAGTACAGCCACATTTCATTTTCTTGGTGTGGTTTGATCAGGTACTGCTGAGCTCTTGGGCTGCTTTAGTTATTCTTTTCTCACATAAGCTCATAGATTTAGAGTTGTATTCTGTTTAAAAATTCAGAACTTAACAAACACCAAATAAAACAACCATTATGATATTATATATAGCTTAGTGGTCTTAACAATACAAGTGCAGGGTTGCTAACAAGTGGTATAATCCTCTTTTTCTGTTCTAATATATATATGTGTGTAAGATATGTATTATATACATTCATACGTGCACGCACACACACACACACACACACACACACGGACAGAAAAAGAGGATTATACCTGAAACTGTGACTCTCTGTGATGTAAAACTTTCTTTTCTTTTTAAATATATGATAAATTTAGCAAGTTAACTTATCTTGCTTTTCTATGAATCCTGGTCTACCCTCTGTTCTTTTCTGTGCATTTAAAAATGCAATAATAGCTCATTTTTATCTTCTCTTAAAAAACCTATGTAGAATTTTATTGAAATGTTTTGCTTTTTTATTACCTTATATTTTCCCCTTTTAATATTTCTCCTCTCAAAGAACCATCCTTTATTACAAAGGTATTTTTAAAGAGAAAAATAATCAGTAGAATTGATCATCACATTGAAAAACATCTGTTATTATGTACAATATTTCATACATATGGACTCTTTATTATTTCCCACCATTCAATTTCAATTTTTAGTGAGAGTATTCTTTCCATTTTTTAGGCATTATATATATTGGTTTTTCTGTCTCTATTCTTCCTTCCTTTCTTCCTTCTTTCCTTCCTTCCTAAGCTCTATCCCTACTCTACTTCCTCTCTCAGCTGAAAAAAAGAAAAACAATCTTTGAAATAAACATGCATAGTCAAGCAAAACAAATTCCCATATTTGCCATACCTCAAAATGGGTATCTTATTCTGCATCTTGAATCCATTTTTTGTCAGGAGGTGATGCTTCATCACTGGCCCTCAGAAGTGATCTCATGACTGGTTCTTGGTGAGTAAATGCAAAATAATTCACAGATCCCTAAAGCTGTGTCTATAATGCTCATTCATAAATCCACTCAAGAAAGAGTATATTAGGGGGAGCTAGGTGGCACAGTGAATAGAGCTCTGGCCTTGGAGCCAGGAGGACCTGAGTTCAAATGCAGCCTCAAACACTTAACACTTACTAGCTGACCCTGGGCAAGTCACTTAATCCCAACTGTCTTACCAAAAAGAAAAAAAAAAAGAAAAAGAAAAAAAAAAAGAGTATATTAAGTATATTATTCCAATTGGGTCTACATTCTGATGCTGGTGAATCCTGAAAACTAACATAGCAAGATCTGTACCTCAGTTCTGAAATATTATTGGCCTCACTTCAAGTCAGAACAATTTGTTCTGGCTTTATTTACTAAGTGAGTGAAGGTACTTATAAATATTTGGCCTCTCTGCCACGTCAGGGTGCTTCCTATCTCATGTGTCTGAGAGCTCTAAGCGGGTTCTCCAACTCTGGTAGGCTTATGTATTACAGCTGTACCTTCTACCCAAATGTGAATGTGGCTTTGGCTCTAACAAGTTGCTTGGGAGTCACTTCTAATTATTGGTGGTTCCAGAATAAGGCTCATAGGAGTGAGCCAAAGTCAGCTCTGACATACTTACATGTGGGTTATATTATTAAATTTGTTATTTTTATTATTTTATTTTCATTATTTTATAATAATAAAGAATAAATTTAAATAAAATAGTAGTTTTATTACTTATTGCTTTATTGTTAAATTTTAAAATTGTTAAACTTTCAGTGTGAGCTTTTACACCTAAAAAATCAGCAATTGCTATAAATCAGGGCTTGAATTGTTTTGTTGATTGTCAAGACTTAAGAAAGTGGTAATAATTCAGATTAAATATAAAAGTATGTGTATAGATTTTTTTTCCCCCTCAGAGAGCTCAGTTGTGAAACATTTATCAGCACACTCCCGTGTCACTCTATAAACCCTGCTTAAGCTCAGCAGGAATAAAGTAGAAGACTTAGGGAATGAAGTAGTCACCAGAATGGGGGCCTGGTGCTTGCAGGATACCAATAATAATAACAATAATAACAACAGTAATTTAATAACAATAACTTGCATTTGCATAGCTTTTTAAAATTTGTAAATTGCTTTCCATATATTATTTCACTTGAGCTTTCCAACACTCCAGTTGATAGATTCATTTAGTTCTATGTCACTCAGGATCCCAAGATTTAGATTGGGAAGGAAAGTTTTGGGTCATCTATTCCAGCCTCTCATTTTGCAGATGAGGATGCAGAGTCCCAGAGAGGTTTAGTGACTTACCCAGAGTCACACAAGTAATATATAGTAGTTTGGGGATTCAAACCCAGGTCTTTGGATGACCAATGCTGTGCTCTTACCAATATGTTTTGTTATCTCCCAACACTTAATTATCTAGATTCTACAGAATTTGGGATGGATAATAACATTCTAGACTAAATTATTAAAAGGATGGTAAGCAAACACTTTGTAGAGGTTAATAACTAACATGCATAAACTATTTTAATTTGTGCAAAGCACGTTAACACACATTATCTCATTTTGGTCCCCACAACTGTCTGTGAAATAGTGTGGTTGTTGTTATTCCCATTCTACAGATAAGAAACTGAGCCTCAGAGACGTTAAGTGACTTGCCAGTGGCCACACAGCAAGTATCACATTAAGATTTCAGACTGAGATCTTTCCAACTCAGAATCCGACATTAAATCTAGCCATTACACCATTCTTCCTCTTCAAGGTGAAGCAATAATCACGAGTCATCATGAGATCATTAAAACATATCATGCCAGAATAATCTCATTTTAAGGTTACTAAAATGGATAGATCAGGGAAGTCCTATATAAATAGTATACCCATATTTCCATAAGGCATTTAACAAAGTCTCCTAAACAATATCTTTGGGGGAAGGGAGAGAAATGTGGACAGGTGATAGCTCACTTCAGTGACTTCAGAATTCAATGAATGACCCTACTGGAAGACTATTGATCAATGGATCATTGTCTGTTTTGTTTTTTTTTTGGCAGTTGGGATTAAGTGACTTGCCCAGGGTCACACAGCGGTAAGTGTCAAGTGTTTGGTCTGAGGCTGGATTTGAACTCAGGTACTCCTGACTTCAGGGCCAGTGCTCTAGCCATGCCACCTAGCTGCCCCTTAATGCATCATTGTCAACCTGGATGATTGTAGTAGAGGACTACAGTTCTGTCCTTATCTGTGGTCTATTCAACATTTGTTAATGACTTAGATGAAGAAATAGCTGTCATGCTTATTAAATGCTCTGTAGGTAGCATTTTGGTGGAAAGTTACAGTGAGATGACAGATTTGGAATCCAAACAGATCTTGACAGGCTAGAATGATTATGAGAAATCTAATAAGGTGAGGTCCAATATTAGGGATAAATCTAAAAGTGTAGGACTCTAAACTAGAGTTAAAAACATCAACAACACAAGTGCAGGATTGGGAACGTGTGGCTAGTCAACACTTTCTGTGAAAATGACATAGGTGAATTCAGAGGCTATCTATGTCTATATCACTATCTATTTCATCAGAGAAACAATTAGATTTTTTTCTTTTTGACTTTAAAGGGCAGAAGTAGGAGCAAGGGATGGAAGCTACAGGGAGACAGATTTCAGGTGAACACACTAAGAATATACTTGTAAATGTTTAACAACAGGATATTCGGGGAGGGAAAAGTATGCATGACAAACTTTTAAGTTTGATTTGCATAGCATTTTCTCCAGTACTTTCTGAAGTCTAAACAATCAACTAAACAATAAATAAATCAAGCCCAGATTTCTAGTTTTGTCTATTTCCAAGATGTAAATGTTCACACTGAAACTTTAACAATCAGTTTTTAGGAGCAGGGTAGAACTGGTTCCAGCATATCCCTGGACATAAAAAATAATTTCCTAATAATTGAATTACAAACTAGAGGTCTCTGGTAAGTGTGGTTAGATCTACTATTCTCAGCTCAATGCTTAAGCAGCTGATTAGCCAGTCCAGAACTTTAATGACTAGAATAAATTGCTAAAATGAGTTCTCAGGCCCTGTTAATGATTTTTTTCCATATGGGTACGTATTCAACAGAAGCATTTATTAAGCTCTCTCTGTGTGCCATGAATTGTACTCGAGTCTGGAGATACAAATATGCAAAGCAATTCAGTACCCGTCCTCATGGCACTTATATTTTATCAAAGAAAACAACATATACATGTAGAAGTATATACAAAATAGATATGAATCCTAGCTGCTGGTGACATAATAAAACATGTAAATGTAAAACGTGCCTAAGTTTTTCTGTGTTTGATAACCTTCAATTAAATTTCACTCTAAATATATTTGACACATAGAACCAACAAAGTACTCCAAATAACAGATTTGGATTTCTGTTGTTATATGTGTATATAGTACTATGTTTATATGAACATGTTCTACTTTGTGCTGTAAACTCTATTGAAAAATAAGTTCAGCTTCCCTTCTAGTGGCTGTTTTTTGGATTTTCTTAGTTCTCATTAGGGGTCTCATTTAGTAGTTCCCAGATTTTCGTTGTCTAGTACAATGGTGTGAAATAGAAACAGGGCCACAGAACCATGCCTTATATTGACTTATAAAATCTCATATTAACATTATCTAAGTTCTATTATATTTTTATTTGTTTTGTTAAATATTTCCCAATTCCCTTTTAAGTGATTCTGTTAATACTCTGGCAGTGTTGTTGTCAGCAGTATTATGGCCCATTGGCCACATGTTTAATACCTCTTCTCTAGTACACAGTTCCATCTAGATCCCTTTGTAGCTCTTGGACATACAGTTTACACATAGTAATTTGGTTTCAATTCTCTTTTAGCTACAGACTTTGAAAGCATTTCATGCTTCACTGCCAAAAAGTAATTAATGTTAAGATTCTGACATTTAAAACACACCAAAACTATTTAATGCCAGTTATGTAATTACAGCACTTTAAGTAGTTGATTCTTTTCTCCTCACAAAATAATTGTGGCTGTGTGATGTTGCTATCATGGCTTTTCAAATTATGTATAATAGCATTATTAATGATAAACCTTTATCCTAATATAAATTGAGAGGAATATGTAGATTACTAAAACAGAAATATTTCTTAAAATTATTTTTTTCTCCATGATGAAATAAAATGATCAATTTTATTCAGAATACAACTAGAAAAATGGCCAAATATTATGTATTGATTAATTTTGAGGGATGGAGAGGTCTTATACTGCTCAACAGTAAAATAGGGCTTGAGAACTCATTTTAGCTATTTTATTCTAGTCATTAAAGTCCTGGGGGCTATTGTAATCTAATCAGCTGCTTAAGCATTGAGTTGAGAATAGTAGATCTAATCACACTTACCAGAGCCCTCTAGTTTGTAATGAGATTCACTCTCTCACTTGTACTGACTAACATACCATTATAGTGTCTCTGTTTATGGGATTCAATGCATTTAAAAACATTTACTTTATTTGAACACAGGGATGGTGAGTGAAAAAAACAAACAAAACCATGAATAAGACATAGTCCCTGCCATAATGAAGATTAACATGTAGTAGGAAAATTGAAAACATGCATAAATAATTTTAGTAAAAACAGAACATACTAAGTACATAATAAAGAGTTAAACAAAATGTGATGTGGGAGGATAATTCCACTCGGAAGGATTATAAAGGCTTCAAAGAGAAGCTAGCATTTGAAGTAGATTTTTGAGGGATAGTAAAGCTATGGTCAAACATATAAATATTTTGTAATGGATCTTTTGAAAAATAAAAGTAAAATTCATATGCCTTTCAACATATGATCTCTTTAAAAACAAAATATTGTAGTAAGTTTAAGCAAGTGTTTTAGGGAAAAAGAATTGAATCACTGAAACATTTTTCTATAAAGATGAAAATGTATGACTGTAATTTTGTTGACATAAATTGCTATGTATGCTTTTCTTTTCAGCATGCAAAAAGACTTAAACCTTGTAGAATACTTAATAGCTGGTCCACTCTACTCATTACAGCAATCTAGCATGGATTCCACTATACTACTGAACATTTCTACTTCTGGCTCTAGGATTTCCCTTGTGATGATTCAAAGACATTGCTTCTTGCCAAGGCAAGAT